ACATTTATCAACAATTTTTTTTTTTATAATATTAAACAGTTTTTTTTATATTTAAAATAAGAAAAAAAACAACGAAAATTCACATAGAAAAATATGCGTACAAACTAAAAAACAAAAGAAAAATAACTTTTTTTCAATGAGAATTTGCAAAATTTATATGAGGTTGTATACCCTTTCGATTCTTGGTCTCTTCCAACCGTTTTGACATCGATGCCACCAATTTCCGGGTGAAATCACCCGGAATTTTTAGCCATTCCTCCATCAGAACAGATTTGAGCATGTCTCTTGATATAATTATTCGCTCTCTGATCTTGCGCTCCAAAAAATCCCATAAATGCTCTATGGGATTAAGGTCCCGATACTGGGGAGGCGAATGAAGCTGGTGTCTAGTATTGTAGAGCAACCAGAGCTTTACATTGTGGGCTGTGTGTTTGGGGTCATTATCCTGTTGGAAGACAAAGTCCTCCCCAAGACCCAATTGTCTGGCGCTTTGGGGCAAATTGGTTTTCAATATATGGAGGTAATCCATATGGTTCATTGTGGACTCAATAAAAACCAAATTGCCCACTCCAATTGCTGCCCACACCATTGCCCCCACACCATTACGCCACCTCCGCCGTGCTTAACGGTTGGAGCTAGATTTTGGACATCGAACGCTGTGCCCCTCTTTCGCCACACAAGCTTTCTCCCCTTGATTCCCAATATACAGAATTTGCTCTCATTACTAAAAATTACTTGGTTCCAATAGTCTGGACTGACTTCCAAGTATTTTCTGGCGAAATCCAGCCGCTTGATTTTATTTGGCTCAGAGATGAGCGGCTTTCTTCGAGCAACACGGGCATTTATTTCATTTTTATTTCAAAATTTTCTTATGCTGTCTTCGTGAAGCTCTTTCTCGTACTTCTGTTTAACTTCCTGATTAATCTTTGCTGCAGTTAATCCAGGGTTTAGCAGCACAGTCTTCAGCACGTCCCTCTTCTCTCTCTCGGTCAGCTTTGAGGGCCTTCCCGAGCGTGGCTTTGACTTAACTGAGCCAGTCAAATTAAAGTTTTTGACTACTCTTTGGACAGAAGAATGTTGGCAGACAACAATTTCTCTGAAAGATTTCCATTCATCGCGTAATTTTACGATGAGTTTCCTCAGATCGGGATCAATCTCTTTTGTTTTTCTGCCCATGACGAAATCTATCAACTTAAGGACAAAATTTGCAAACCAACACGTGATTGACATCCTTTCTGACATACTTTCTTTACCGTAATATGCTGTTTAGCGGTACTAAAAGCTTCACACGACAATTAAGAACAATGGGTTGTTAGTTTGTACGCATACTTTTTCTAAGTGAATTTTCGTTGTTTTTTTCTTATTTTAAATATAAAAAAAAACTGTTTAATATTATAAAAAAAAATTGTTGATAAATGTGTGTTATTAAAGTGTTTTCCATTAAAAAATATAATATTGATAAATATACTATTATTTATCACATTTATTCTCTATCAAAGTCGCTCATTAGGCCTGTACGCATAGTTTTTCTGGCAAGTGTATACAGATATACAGAAATCTAAAATTCAAATGATTCAAATTCGTAACCCTAGGTGCGAAACACAGAGTATAATAATAAAATCGGATGAATAACACAATTAACATACGTCAACTAATTAATCAACACTACAGATAACAATTAAGAAAGCTCTAGTCGGGGTGCCCGACTAGGAGATATTCTGATCCCAGTCCTATCAGCGTTTTTTTATATTTTCAATTAAAACCGACATTACAATACCGAAACTCGAAGCAATGTTATCTACGCAACGCGCATCGACTCTACCAACACCGCCACTTCATTAAATTAAAAACTAAAAATGTCCCTCTACCACCAACAAATGATTATTGCTTACGAACGCCGCCTTTACCAACACCACCACTTCACTTCTTGCATAAGGAGTTAAGTTATTAATTCAAGCACAATTCAATCGCAATTTCGATTCTACGAATAGAAAAGAATACACGCATATTAATGTATGTGTGCACATTTATAGGAAAAATGCGTGCGCTTGTTGTTGCTTGACATGTGCTTTTGCTTCGCTTCACTAATTTTAAGAATTTGGGGGAATTTTGAGCAGGTACCAAAAATCTTAGCTGTATTAAAAATAAAAACATCAGCATGTCTAAATCACGAACTGAACGAAATTTACACAATCCCAAACTCCCCAAACAATTAAAGCCTACTCTATTCATCGCTGTTTGATCAAATCCTTTTTTCATCAATAAGTAGCCATCAATATAGTCACTAATTATACGAAATGGGGTTTTACCACTGTCGTCGACCTTTTTTGAATAACCAAATAATGCGAATTGAATTTTCTAAAAATGCCTAAGTTCAACATGTCAGTGAATTGTAGGCTTAACTCTTTTTTATAAATTTGAGGGTTACGGTAAACTGTTTCTGCAGTTGCAGTTTTTATTAAATGTGTTATTTTGGAAGTATAAGCTTCTGTACATTCTAACATCAGCTTATCACTTATTTCATAAGAAATTTTGCTTAAATATTTCACTAACCTCTTTGTAGATTCAGGATATTGGGCATTGTTGAATTGGTCGATCAGCATTGGCAGTGAGCACGTTATAGTTGTCAATCATAAAAATCCGTAATTACATTCAGGTGCTGAGGAGAATGTGGTCCACTGGACTGAAAAACGGAGCCAGTCTTTGATCCCTATTGAAATGGGTAAGTACTTGATTGTCTCTATTGATAAAGTTGGTTCGGCCATGCTGTCAGATTTTAATATACATATATATATGTATATGCTAGGTAGCTCTTTTAAATAGGCTTGGCTTGATTGCTGCATATGCCAACAGATACCAGTAAATACGATTTGCAGGGATACAAAAATGTGTAATAGCAGGCATAAACACTTTTGTCTAGTGTAAATAATTCATTACCCAGTATGAAGTATCGATTGTCCAAACGATCAATATTAAGCTGATATACTAGTTTCAACAACCATTAACAGTGTTGCATTCGTTTTGCGGGATATTTGTTATCCAGAGATCAGTTTGATAGTAATTTGTCAAGTATCCTACCTAATATGTGACGTAAAAATTAAAGTTCAGGTTGAAGTGTTTTTGAAGACTAGGGCATCAAGACCTACATAAATGCCTAACATCTAGTTGCTGACTACATACATACATACATGTATACAGTAGGGAGCAAAAGTGTTTCCATAGTTGACACTTCCAACTTTGTGAGTCGATAATTTCCAAACGAATGAAGCAAATCAAAAAACTTTTTTTCCAATAATATGTATTTAATTCTTAACAAATTGCAGTATATAACAAAAACAAAAGTAAATCAGTAAAATATTCAAACAAAGAAAACTGAAACAAAACGCATGTGTACAATTTTGCACCTTCCGATATTCTTCATAATCGGCAATAGACATGCAAGTTTACCCTTATATGTTTTATTTTTGCATTCTACACTTTTATGATCCAGAAATTCACGTGTTTCTTATTATTCGAAGTAAATTTATTAATTTTAGCAAACTAAAACTAAAAAGTACCGCGAAAAAATGAAGAAGCTTTCCTCAGATGTCGAAAATAGTATTATTAGCCTAACTGAAAGTGGATTTCGACTGGTAGTATTGCAGATCAGTTTAATATTTCTAATTCAGCGGTGTCCAAGGTCCAGAAAAGACGCAGTGGTGCATCCAAAAACACTATTAAAGACCGCAAACGCCTCTTAAAGGAGTCTGACGCCAGACTAATGTCGAAAATGAGAACTGATAAGTTCCTAACACCGAAGAAGCCATTTATGGACATAGGAAAAGACGTGAGTCGGCGGGTGGCTAGAAAAGCACTAGCTAAGGTTGGATATTTGGCAAGTGTGAAAAAAAATAAACCAGCTATATCCGGGAAGAATGTCAAGGGTCGATTGAAATTCGCGCGGGAACACAAGAACTGGACTGTAGATGATTGGAAATGTGCCATCTCGTCGGATGAATCCAAGTTCAACCGTTTTCACTCGGATGGCAAGCAATACTATTGGAACAGGCTCGGGGACAAGCTTCAAAAACACCATGTGATGCAAACCGTTAAGCATGGAGGAGGCAATGTGAAAGTTTGGAGATGCTTTACTTGGTGGCACATTGGACCATTGCAGAAAATTGATGGTATAATGTTAAAAGAAGACTATCTCAATATTTTGAAAACCTATCTACCCATTTTTTTGGACAAGTGTGCATACCCCGTAAAGGTAATCATTTTTCAACAAGATGGGGATCCGAAGCACACTGCCAAAATTGTCCGCGAATGGATAAAAAAACCGAGATTTTATGCTGATGGAGTGGACAGCTAAAAGTCCCGAACTCAATCCGATTGAGAACCTGTGGTCAATCGTGAAGCGACGGCTCGGGCAATATCAATCAATGCCATCCAACCTAGACGATCTTTGGAAGCGTGTTGAACTGGAGTGGAACCTAGTTCCAAAGCAAACCATAGAGAAGTTGGTCGAGAGTATGCCAAACTGAATAAAAAATGTAATAGCTAATAAGGGTCTGTGGATAAAATATTGATTTAGAATCATATTTAATTTTTTTCACTGAAGGTGCAAAATTGTACACATGCGTTTTGTTTCAGTTTTCTTTGTTTGAATATTTTACTGATTATTTTTTGCTTTTGTTATATACGGCAATTTGTTAAGAATTAAATATATATTATTGGAAAAAAAGTTTTTTTGATTTGCTTCATTCGTTTGGAAATTATCGACTCACAAAGTTGAAAGTATCAACTATGGAAACACTTTTCTCCCTACTGTATATACATGTATATAAATATATAAGCATCTAAAAAAAATATATATTCGAAAATTGTTTCAATTTGTAAATAACTGTAATGAGGAACTGAGTAATAATTTAGTATATTTGCGTATATTCTGATATGAATACATAAAAAGGCCCTTAAAGCTAGTTTTATTACAATTATATTTTTTTACATCATTTTTTGCAGCAACTTTTTATATATGTTCACACATTAGGTACAGAATATTCAAAAAATAAGTACAAGTCATTGTTGCTGACTGCTGCGAAAATGTTGAAAATTGTTTATGTACATTAGGTTCAAAGATAATATAGTTACAAAATACAGCATGTAGTAGAACAGCAACGTCCAGATCCACTTTTACTCTTCAGCCTTTGATCTGCAATAATTTAAAGGGATACATATTAATATAGATTTTCACATTTGCTCTATTAACTTTAATTATTTACTTAGTTATTACGATTGATATTAAAATGTAGAGCATCGGATTATTTACGAAAAATGGTTCAAGCAAAGCTTAACTGTCTACACCTGGGAATACCCATTGTATTCAAAATGTAAATTCCACTCAATACAACATTTAACATTCTTACATTTTTTGGTCCAACAACACATCGAAATTAAATGTGATATCTTCAATGTTAAATTTATCACTGCAAGAACACAATTACACGTTCAACCCACTCTTTATTTTGTAACGCCATATCGATTGCAGTATGTTTTGAGTAACTTAGTCTTTTAGTATCCAATCTTCCAGCCTTATATTTACTGGCACCGATTGCAAGATATATTTATTATTATTATTATTATTATTATTACTTGTTTTATCTTAGCTTAGATGATTAGTTATACCTAATAAAATTAAACACCAGTAGCAACATTTTGTACAAGTTGTATATTAATTGATTTTTTTTATTCTTATATCTTTCATAATTATTTACCATGCATAATTTCGATTCATAGTGCAATCAAATATATTTAATAATTAAGTTTTCATTTATAGTGGCATGTTTTTTTTTTTAAGTCTTATGTTGCATATGCAATGATTTGATGCCAAAATGTAATCAGTTAACGTAGGTTTAACTAGTTCGTTCATTAATATTATATTTTAATACATACAGTACGGAGCAAAAGTGTTTCCATAGTTGACACTTTGAACTTTGTGAGTCAATAATTTCCAAACGAATGAAGCAAATCAAAAAAACTTTTTTTCCAATAATATGTATTTAATTCTTAACAAATTTCCGTATATAACAAAAACAAAAGTTAATCAGTAAAATATTCAAACAAAGAAAACTGAAACAAAACGCATGTGTACAATTTTGCACCTTCAGTGAAAAAATTAAATTGGATTCAAAATCAATTTTTTGTCCACAGACACTTATTAGCTATTACACTTTTTATTCAGTTTGGCATACTCTCGACCAACTTCTCTATGGTTTCCTTTGGAACTAGGTTCCACTCCAGTTCTACACGCTTCCAAAGATCGTCTAGGTTGGATGGCATTGATTGATATTGCTAGAGCCGTCGCTTCACGATTGACCACAGGTTCTCAATCGGATTGAGTTCGGGACTTTTAGCTGGCCACGCCATCAGCATAAAATCTTGGTTTTGTAACCATTCGCGGACAATTTTGGCAGTATGCTTCGGGTCCCCATCTTGTTAAAAAATGATTTGCATACCGCACACTTGTCCAAAAAAATGGGTAGATAGGTTTTCAAAATATTGAGATAGTCTTCTTTTAACATTATACCATCAATTTTCTGCAATGGTCCAATGTGCCACCAAGTAAAGCATCTCCAAACTTTCACATTGCCTCCTCCATGCTTAACGGTTTGCATCACATGGTGTTTTTGAAGCTTGTCCCCGAGCCTGTTCCAATAGTATTGCTTGCCATCCGAGTGAAAACGGTTGAACTTGGATTCATCCGACGAGATGGCACATTTCCAATCATCTACAGTCCAGTTCTTGTGTTCCCGCGCGAATTTCAATCGACCCTTGACATTCTTCCCGGATATAGCTGGTTTATTTTTTTTCACACTTGCCAAATATCCAACCTTAGCTAGTGCTTTTCTAGCCACCCGCCGACTCACGTCTTTTCCTATGTCCATAAATGGCTTCTTCGGTGTTAGAAACTTATCAGTTCTCATTTTCGACATTAGTCTGGCGTCAGACTCCTTTAAGAGGCGTTTGCGGTCCTTAATAGTGTTTTTGGATGCACCACTGCGTCTTTTCTGGACCTTGGACACCGCTGAATTAGAAATATTAAACTGATCTGCAATACTACCAGTCGAAATCCACTTTCAGTTAGGCTAATAACACTATTTTCGACATCTGACGAAAGCTTCTTCATTTTTTCGCGGTACTTTTTAGTTTTAATTTGCTAAAATAAACAAATCTACTTCGAATAATAAGAAATTCGTGAATTTCTGGATCATAAAAGTGTAGAATGCAAAAATAAAACATATAAGGGTAAAACTGCATGCATAAGAGAATTAAGAAATCAAACCAAAGTAAGAATATCGGAAGGTGCAAAATTGTAAACATGCGTTTTGTTTCAGCTTTCTTCGTTTGAATATTAATAACTTTTGTTTTTGTTATATACAGCAATTTGTTAAGAATTAAATACATATTATTGGAAAAGGTTTTTTTGATTTGACTCACGAAGTTCAAAGTGTCAACTATGGAAACACTTTTGCTCCCAACTGTATATTTGTTTTCTAGCTTTAATTGTAATTTAATAATTATAAATGTTTTGATGGTCTCTTTGGGACATTTATTTTTGTCATATTATTTAATACAATAAAATCAATGGTGCCATTTCAATATCACTGCGGCTTTGTATAATTGTATAAATTAACACAACCGTCCCGGCTAGCCGAGAGCAGAGAATAAATCCCAATAAGCTGTGTTGCAGATTATGATAACTATAATAGTCCGCGCCTATGATTTGAATCAAGAATCGACTGCAAACCGAAACAAAATGATTGGGAGCATACAGATTCATACAGATTAGACTCAGTTATCAGTAAGACGGGACGCATCCGAAGAAATGACAACCCAACCCTTCAAAACCCCTGCCCAGGACAAGAAATCGTCATCTGCCAATAGTTATCGCACTTCATCGAACAGACAGCATAGCAACAAAAGAAAATGGGCCTTATGCTATGGAGAAAGGTTCAACAAGAACCTAACGTAGTCCCGAATCCCGTATTCAACATAGACGCTATTAGGGTGGGAGCTTCGTCGACCCATGACAATCATCAATGACGACAACGTAGGGAACTAAAATAACGACATCTATGATATCAGCAACATCAAGCTGTATTAAATACTGATGTCTCTCGTATCTACCGAGCTACCGTTCAGGAGCAAAACTAACTGTTCTTCCTTATCAAAGCCATTTGTTGCTGTATAATATCTCCAAAGAAATAACGTTGCTCATCGGAGCTAGACACGGAAGGGATTTAATGAACAAGACATGGATCCAAAAAAAAATAATTTTAAATATTTAAATATTTAAGGTGACCAAAGCGAAACAATAGTTGAAATGATTTTAGGAGTACTTAGTCAAATAGCAAATGGAATTTAATAGAACAGTTTTAAGGCCTTTAGAGTTCAACAACTTGTTAAGATAAGTAATAGCAAGTTGTAAAAATTACCAGCCAAAACAAGTAACAAAGCCAACTAGGAGATACGCTGATCCCAGTCACATCTGCATGTTTTAATATTTTTCGTAGTTTGTATCGAGTATTAAAAAAAAAAAAAAAAATAAAAATAAAAATCGGCAGTACGACATCACGATCACCACAATCTACGCAACGCACATAAACTCTCCCAACACCGCCACTTCATAACTAAATAATAACTAAATAATAATAAATATTCATTTATTAACTGCATTTCGATCATGTTTTATTTCGATAACAATTAAATGGGAATAGTTATAAAATATCTGAAACTTGATATGCGCGTGCTATAAACGGACCTACAGAAATTGTAGGTTTCTAGCTCTTACAGATGCTGAGATCGACGTGTTCACAAATACGGACAGACGGACGGACAGGGCTCAATCGACTCGACTTGTTCTGATCAAGAATATATATACTTAATAGTGTCTGCCACGCCTCCTTCTGCCTGTTACATACATTTGCACAAAACTATTATACCCTGATGTTCCATTCCAAAATGCGTAGGCTTGGGCAAACATTTCGTTTAATAATTTATTTTTTATTTAATGGATTTTATTAAAATTTTTCAGCATACATATTCTGTTTTATTAGTAAAAATGCAAACTTCTCCAAGTCTCTAGCTCTTATAGCTGCTAAGATCGACGCGTTCACACATACGGACAGACGGTCAGACGGACGAATTGGGTTCAATTCTTGGCTTGACGTCCTGATATATATACTTTATGGGTTTGCCGAGCCTCCTTCTGCCTGTTACATACATTTCAATGGGATCAGGGTATAAAAACAAGAAGTATGAATGTTTAGATATCATTTAAATGGTATGATTATTTCTCACAAATTTAATTTAGTATCGTATAACCTAACTATTTATATAAAACAGGCATTTATTGATTACTATTATTTAACATAATACGTAATTTTAACTGCCCGTTTGTTTGTAAAAGAATAAAACAACAGTAACATCGCAAGAAAAACGCATGAAAAGATACTTTATTAGACAAGTTCCTGCATGTACTAATGATCTCTAAGAAAGCATTTGTTACAGGAATAAGAACGCGTTCTCTTAGAGGAAAAAAATAAGGGTTTGAAGTTTTGACTCTGGATAGGCTGGACAAAAAATCCCTAAAATCTTAGGAAAAGCTCAAGGAATGCGGTGACGTTAAAGTTAAAGAAATTCAGAACTGTAATATTGAGGTCGCTGAGAGGACAATTTACTCGCCTTAATTCAATTCATTGAGAACATTTGAGCGTGGTTAGCTAGTGAAAACTACCGCACAACCGACAACATAATAACGGTCATTGACGGTCTAAGCGATGCCAGTGCCAAAAGTTGAAAGTTAAAAGTTGAAAAAAAAAAATCGATTTTCCCATTTACCATGATTATAAGATGTATATATAATATATTGTGATAAGTCAAGTGAGGAGGTTAGTAAGCGTAGAAATATAATTTTAATAATTTTTGGACACCCTTTACAAGGAGTCATAATAATATAACTGTGATCTGGGCTAACGCTTTAAAATTGTGGAAAATTCGGAATATTTTTAATGGGAGAGTATATTTAATGTAACAGTAACAGTAACAGTAACTCAATAATCGAATTTAAAATGTATCTCTCCTATTCTGTAATTTTAATTTTTGTTATATTTTGGATATCATCTTCAAATACTAAAAGTATTATATTTATGCACAGACGATCGAGTACATACGAAAAATACTTCGACCCTAAGCCTGTGAAACCATGGCAATAGAAACAAGTTAATAGATTTTTAAATAAAATGCGTTACTTTTCAGACCGACAGTATTTCACCTTGGATCGCTGCAGCTAACTCATCTACGTGCCACATATATCGCTGTTCAAATTAATTTGTCAATCATTGTACATTATGTTATTTATTATTAGTTTTATCTCTCACCTTGCGAATTAGGCTCAGGTAAATTATCACGCGGAACTAAGTGCATGACAGTCGTTTTCCCCAGGGGTAGTCCTAATGCACCCAATGTTACGTTGCAATGTAGAAAGCGGCCTTGATAAATCAGACGTAAAATTTCAGATTTCGAAACAGCTTCCTGTGACCAATCTAAAATACATAGAAAAACCAATGCAAATTTTAGTTAAGCATTTTTTGCTTTCAGTTTGTCACACGTTTACTTAAGATCGTTTTTTCGATTAACCTTATCTTCTTTACAATATAACTTTAAAAATAGGCTTTTGAGAATACAAATAAAGATTACATTTTGGGAATAAGAAATTACGTTTAGGAAGGGTGCGGTAATGTTCAGTCTTGTAAACATATTTTATTTTATAAAGATTAATATTTTTATAGCTTTAACAAGGATGTTGCAGTCGGGCCCTACTGACTGCATTTTAATCACTTAAGGTGTACGCGCTATTAGCTCCAAAACTTATAAAACTGTATGTAGATTGAGATCAACAGTAATTTAGTTGTAAAATTTGGATCTAATTGTATTTTTCCCGATTTGACGCGCCTCCATTAGGAGTGCACATATAACTTATGTATAATCTTAAAGGAACTGTCAAATTGTAGGGCGTAGGCCGCAAATGAGAAAATGAAAATATTATAGAAAATTTTCTTTTTACCACGCCTCCGATGGACGTTAAATGTTTTTTGGTGCATCGAAATGGATTAAGAGTAACTCAATAATCAAATTTTTAGGTGTTTAGCTCTACAAAATTATTAGATAACCTTTTGAGGTTTGCAAATAATGGGCGTAGATATATCCGTCATATATTTTTGGTCTCGAACTATCCACGCGAGTTAATGTTAGAATTTGCAAGTCTCTTGCATCAATAAGAGCTAGAGATTTAAAATTTTTTTAGGTACGTCTATAGCACGCTTATATAAAGTTTGTTTTAAATAATCAATAACGGTTCTCAAAATTCCCAAACTTCCTCGAATTCTTTTATTTTACGTTCGGTTGGAAGTTGGTTCATGTTAAAGTTGATATTTTTACTAAGCTTAAAATTTTATTATTTAAATATAGGATGGCGTTGATGCACGTTACGGCGACGATGTTGATTTAATCGTTGGCATCCTAATGTGGGCTTAAACTTGTATACCCTGATCGCATTGAAAATGGGAAATCAGGATATAATGGTTTTGTGCAAATGTATGTAACAGGCATAAGGAAGTGTGGCATACCCCACAAAGTATATATTCCTGACCAGGACGATAAGCCGAGTCGACCGGGCCTGTCCGTCTGTCGGTCCGCTTGTCCATATGTATAAACGCGTCGATCTCACCATCTATAATGGCTAGAGACTTTGTAGGCCCGTGTATAGCCCATATAAAAACATTTTCATAATGCAGCTATTAAATTATATCTCGTACGTCTTAAGAGCTAGAGCCTTCTAATTTCGTATTCAATTTTATGTATATTCTTAGCAGTTTTGGTTTTTGTTGTATTACAAATTCTTAAATTTAAGTTCAGTTGGAAATAGGGCCAATAAGTGAAAGACATTGCATTTCTACCATGCTAATAGAATATGTAGATAGTATGCTGAAAATTTCATTAAAATCCATTAAGTACAACAAAAGATATTAAAGAAAAGGTTGGGCAATTTGCAAAAGCAGATGTCAAGCAGCGCCAAGCGCTTTTCAATACATAGGCACACATACATTCAAATGTGTGTATTCTTCTCTATTTGAAGAATCGAAGTGATGGTAGATCCGACGCTCGTAAGCACTAATCTCGGGGTTCGAGTCTGGCAGGGAAAGAATGTTTTTTAAATTTTAATTATGGAGGTTCGAATCTTGGTGTCGTAATGTCGATTTTTATTTGTTTGTTTTTTTTTTTATACTCAATGCAAACTATGGAAAATATTTAAAAATGCACATAGGACTGGGTTCGGGGTATCTCCTAGTCGGGCACCTCTAATAGAGCTTTCTTACTTGATTTTAGCATACTAGATAAGTAATTAAAAGGTTTTTTACCTTCGACCGTTAAAACTTAGTTGACGAGCTTCAATGGGATTACACGGCGGAGCCAAGACGACGATAACGTAACAAAAGATATGATCTCGTGCATAATGATCTTTATTGGTCTGACCTAAAGTTATTATATCCTGACTCATACGTATTTCATATCTTAAATCTAGCTTATCAAGGGCTGACTGTGTAAGTATCAGCGCTCGTATGTCTAATTTTAAAATCTAAGCATGTAATCTGATTTATTCCTATTGTACTCCCTGCTAGTGGTTGAGTGCGTTTATGTTTTATTCCAAAATTTATGGAACGGCAAGAAAAACAATAAGCATGGAAGTATAATATATTATAAAAGATAATAAAATATCAAGCCAAATGAGCTTTGGAGTTGAAAATTTGGTTGATATAATAAAACACAAGCAAGAAAGGTCTAGTCGGGATGCACGACTAGGAGATACCCTGATCACAGTCCTATTTGCGTTATTTTAATATTCAAAGATTATAAAGTTTATATAAAAAAATAGAGAGAGATAAAATCCTTTATTTTTGGGGTCTGCCTTAGCCTGTATCTAACAAAAACCTAACAGTTCTCGACTAAGAACATGTTTTCCGCATTATTCCAAATCTAACTGGTAGTTCGAAGCAAATCGATTACCATTGAATGTACGTGTGCACATTTACGTTTTTATGTTTTATGTTTCTATCTCAACTTAATTAATTTTCAAAAATTTTACCGATATCCAGTATTAAATTAAAAAGCGTATAAAAAATACATGAAATTAAAGGCAAATGCGAAATTCTACCACTAAGAACATACAATATACAATTAAATTATAACAAAAGTTATCGATTATTCGAAATAAAAATTGCAATGACACCAGGTCTTATAAAATCTTAGATCGCTGCATTCATACATCTGGACCGGCAGACAGACGGATATCTCAAAATCGACTCAGCACGTCGTCCTGACCAGTTTTATGGGGTCTGCCACGCCTTCTTTTCGTAGACTTGCGATCTCCGATTTCCGATTCAAAAAATATATATTTCACGGCGAAGATTGCGTTACTTAGTTTTTTCTGTTTATATTACTTACCAAGAGGCCAATTATCGAAAACAGTTTTAGAAATGTCACCAGCAGAATCGGTTGCATTAAAAACAAATTCTTTTGTTTTACCGCTTACCAAAATTAATCGTAAGTTGATCTGTAAAAATAAAACAAAAATTAACATAGAAGATACACTAAGGTGCATAGCTGCGGCTTTATGCGAGTTATTTAAATCATTCATTATAATTTATTAATCATTTAGATTTTAATTGTTTTTCTTTTAAATTTTGTTTGATTTAAAATTTGATTGAATATTGAAATGGTTAACAAAATCGTTCACCATTTAATAGGCTTTATATAACTAATGATCATTCATTGCTTCAAAAAGTCCAATACGTCAAGAACTATCGATCTCCTTTTTGTTGGTACTCGGTGAATTTAATAATTTTAAAAATTTTTAACTCTAATTAAAATGAGTTAAAATAATCTTTGACAAATTTTAAGTAACAAAGGTCATCGATGGCAATTCGTATATACATTTTGATTGTACATTTGCTTCAGTTCAATTGTTTTTGCTTTTTAGAAGTATGTGATATGCATAATTTTTGTATTTTAGCTTACTGATAGTTTTGTTGACGACGAAAAAGGTTGAGTGTTGTTACATTTTGGAAATTTTATTTCGCTGTTATTCAATCCAACAGCCATTTTGTGCTCTTGTAAACATAGTCAGTAAGACTTGTATATTTAAACATAAATATTAATCTAGACTATTGAAGACAACTATTATACACGTAATTTAGAGGATTTCCTAGTCAGACTTATTCGTAGAATAGAATATTTTTCAAAATAACTTTAAAGCAACTTTTTCATTAAATTTCATTAGGTCATATCATACATAAAATTATACTCTAATAATGGCTTACAGAAATTATTTTAAAAATAATAGTTTCAATTCTTTCCCATTATGATAATGACATTATCTACAAATTTTTTTGTCATAATATTCTTTTTTTTCAAATCCGAGCAGAAGTAGACCTTGCACATGATATAGTTTTAAAAGCTTGTGTAAGAAAACTGTTTGTTCAATTTCTTTGCAACCAATAACAACATAGAAATCAAAATCTTAGTTCGATTGTGCACAAGTTTAAATTTGCATTGTGAATATTCGCCGGTTTTGTGAATATTTACGGTATTGATATTGATCTTGTTTTAATTAATAGGGAGAAAACGGACTAAGATTATTATTCTTTGTTCAGCATTTTTTAATTTGTAAAAAATATTGAACGAATTTGAATATATGAATGTGTGCACATGTTTAGGAAAAATGCGTACGCTTGGCGGTGCTTGCCATATGCTTTTGTAAATTAGCCGAACGTTTAGTTTAATAACTTTACTGATTTTCAGCATATGATCTATACACTTGCCAGAAAAACTATGCGTACAGGCCTAATGAGCGACTTTGATAGAGAATAAATGTGATAAATAATAGTATATTTATCAATATTATATTTTTTAATGGAAAACATTTTAATAACACACATTTATCAACAATTTTTTTTTTATAATATTAAACAGTTTTTTTTTATATTTAAAATAAGAAAAAAACACCGAAAATTCCCTTAGACAAAGTATGCGTTCAAACTAACAACCCATTGTTCTTAATCGTCGTGTGAAGCTTTTAGTACCGCTAAACAGCATATTACGGTAAAGAAAGTATTAAAGGATGTCAATCACGTGTTGGTTTGCAAATTTTGTCATTAAGTTGATAGATTTCGTCATGGGCAGAGAAATTGGCGAAATTGTTGTCTGCCAACATTCTTCTGTCCAAAGAGTAGTCAATAACTTTAATTTGACTGGCTCAGTTAAGTCAAAGCCACGCTCGGGAAGGCCCTCAAAGCTGACCGAGAGAGAGAAGAGGGACGTGCTGAAGATTGTGCTGCTAATCCCTGGATTAACTGCAGCAAAGATTAATCAGGAAGTTAAACAGAAGTACAAGAAAGAGCTTCACGAAAACAGCATAAGAAAAAATGAAATGAAAAAATGAAATAAATGCCCGTGTTGCTCGAAGAAAGTCGCTCATCTCTGAGCCAAATAAGATCAAGCGGCTGGATTTCGCCAGAAAATACTTGGAAGTCAGTCCAGACTATTGGAACCAAGTAATTTTTAGTAATGAGAGCTAATTTTGTATATTGGGAATCAAGGGGAGAAAGCTTGTGTGGCGAAAGACGGGCACAGCGTTCGATGTCCAAAATCTAGCTCCAACCGTTAAGCACGGCGGAGGTGGCGTAATGGTGTGGGGGTGTACGGCAGCAATTGGAGTGGTCAATTTGGTTTTTATTGAGTCCACAATGAACCATATGGATTATGTTCAGGCATGAACATACTGTAGTATATTTAATAACGTATTCATAATACCCGAAGCAATGTAGAGTATTCTACATATAGATGCGTCATATGCCTAACATATGATAGTGTATACTAAATACGCATATAGTGACATTTGTCCCTACGCATAAGCATATGGCGAGCGCAAAGATAAACAAATGTAATATGATCAGCCACTTATGGTCAGACCACAGCAGCGCGGGAGATGCCGCGTACGCACTTTGCCTAAGGTCTATGCCACTTGCCTAATGTTTATGCCATATGCATATAAGTATATTCAAGCTATATATATGAAGCTACATAGCGGAGAGCATAGTATGTTCCCCGCTTGGAGCTCCACTCATTACATAATGTACTTAAGTTAAGAGACGAAATACGCATGAGCCAGGGTATAAGAACTTTTTCTCAGACGAATAAAGATTATTACAGAACTGAACACCACCACAGATATATGTATTCACATTTTTTGGACCTTCGAGCTGGATCCACAAGGCTACGTTTGTGATGTGTACACACAATTTTTTGGTCCTTCGAGTAAAATCTACAAGGCTACGTTTGTGACAAGTGTGAAAGTGAAGTGAAAAATTGTTTAAATACTTTTTTGGCTTACCAATTCAAGCTGTGAGTAGAGGCACAGCACTATCAACCAGGCGATCAAAACAAAAACACCTCCAACGGGTCAAGCCAAAGGGTAAATTAAGTTCAAATTTTCACAAGAAAAAAAAAACAATCAAAATGCTGTCGGCAAAAACTCTGGAGTTGCTTAAAAAGCAATCAGAGATCTACGACAAGATCCGGCAGAGCATCACGAACAAGGATGCGTTACCAGCAATTGATAGATTGGCAGCAGAGTTTACTGCCAATCATCTAATACTGGTCAAAATCGGTGTCATCGACCATCAATATTTTAAGGAAAAAATATATGATGGCACAATGGAAAACATCAGGAACTACGAGGAGTCTCTGATGAAAGTCGAAGTTGCCTACCACACCATAGACACCGACGAAACAGCATCCATACAACCAAAGACATCCAAGGCACAACACAGGCAGCAGGAAATAATATTTTCCCAAAGAAGCTCGAGCCCAATGGATGTGCTAGTTGACCTTGTGGACAAGCGAGCTCTAAAAGTAAGGCAACACATGCAAGAAGTATATGCCAATCTAGAGCTCAGCAGCCAGGAAGAAATCCTTGACTATAAAGACAAGTTGATTTTCCTGTGGAACAAAGTCCAGTCAACGCTCACGGATTTAGAGGCAAAATACGAAAAATTTGCCTTCGACATCGATGAGATCGATGAGCTGGAATGCAATGTCAGCATACTCACAAAAAAAAACTAAACAGAAGAGTAGCTGACTTGCAAAATACACGAAAAGACGTTCTAGAGCTACCGAAAGTGGATCTTCCTCACTTCAATGGAAGTCCCAAAGAGTGGCCGACGTTCTTCGAGTTATTCTCTGAGGTGATTCACAACAGGAGAGATATCAGCGACACAAGGAAGCTGAATTACCTGAAGTCATGCCTTAAGGGTGAAGCCAAAATGGTGGTAGGCCATTTATTAATTGGCTCGTCGTCTGAACTAATATGCAAACGCTACGATAATACGCGCAAAATATTTGCTAACGCCGTCAACCAGCTAGTGTACATGGAACTGCTCAAGAACAATGATGAAGGCAGTATCCGCAAGTTCTTGGACACAGCAACATGCATTTTCATTATCAAAGAAAAGGGTCAATTTGGTAATGAAGCTGACGTTCTATTCGCTCAAATTCTGTTGCGACGATTCTCTACGGAAGTCCTACAACTTTACGAGCAACACGTAAAAAAGACTAGAGAAATTCAGTCCTTGGACGATGTAATAGAGTTTATTGAGCAACTGTATAACTCAATAGACTCAGTGCAAAAAAGCGCCGCCCATACGTCAAGGGAAGCAAAGACAATGAGCCACAAAAGATGCCGTTTTTGCCAATTGACTGGACATGAAATAACTAGGTGTCAGAAATTACGAGCTGAGCGGGTTAAAAAACGCAAGGAGTTTGTATTCAAAAACTCGCTTTGCTACAAATGTCTAGGCAGCCACAGCGTTAAAGATTGCAAAAAGAATTGGACTTGCAATCAATGCACTAAAGCGAACTATTTGCTTCACGAAGATGCAAATAATAAAGAGACCGTCAGCAGCAACTGTCTAAATGAAAATAAAGGACAAGATACGTTGCTGGCGACAGCGCTCATCCAGATTAAAAATAAGTCTGGAAAATACGAGCAGCTAAGGGCCCTTATAGATGGAGGCTCGCAAAAAACCCTAATATCTGAAGAAGCTGCACAACAGTTAAAACTGCGCCGAACTAAACGGAACGTGGAAGTTCAAGGAATTTCGCAAAATGTAGAAATTCTTAAGAATAGTGTTTGCTTAACAATCAAACCCCGGTTTAAAAGCAAATTCATCACCACAACGCAGGCACTTGTTATGCCAAAACTTCAGAGAGCTCTACCGACCAAGAAAATTGACATGGATGTCAATAAGGATTGGATGGGCTGCGAGCTAGCTGACCCACATTTTAACGAGCCCAGTCGAATTGACGTTGTCATTGGCGTTGATTTACTTCCCTTAATAATGTTGGGAAAAGTAAAGAAAATCAACAAAACTCTGGGACAAAAGACCGAACTTGGATGGATTGTTTCTGGCAATATATCTGGATTATCAACCAACAAGGTAATCAGCGCATCAACAACGATGTGCCTGGACGTCCCAGAGAACTCTGGGAAGCATC